CAGATAAAATATATTTTTTCTACAACTGTCAAAAAAACCTGTCATTTTCTGACGAATTTCGAAGCGCGAAGTACTAGATTTTTAAACGGTTAATTAATAAGTAAGGTTGCCCTTGACAACGTGCGCGAAATCGTCAACAGTGAAAAAAAGTATTTCGCACACGGGACAAAGTTGAACTTAAACAGCAAATTTAATTAACAATCGGTCCAGTTGTAGAAAAAATATTGTATATAACGCTAGCGCGAAGTTATTTCGCGCATTTGACTGATATTTTAACTCGGCTTCGCCTCGTCAAAATACCTTCAATCTCAATGCGCGAAATTGAACTTCGCGCTCTTGTTATATAAATAACTATTTTTTAGTTCTTTAAAAAAACCACATGTGTGGTCGTTAATTTGAGATTGAAGACAGTTCGGACCATTTTGAATTTGAAGACAATGTGATTTTTTAAAGGATGATTTGTTGCTTAATTTCGTTTAAATAATCATGCGTAGTATTTAGATTTTGGAACCTTGGAAAATATTTGCGTGTAATGTTTGGTTAAAGTTATCTCATTTAAATCCGGTCGTTGCGACAAGAAACGTGTTATCGCTGTTTAAGTTAATTAGTTTGAAGGTAAGCAGGTTTCGCCTATAAGAAAACACAGGCGTTTAATTTTGAAGACGCAAATTCTAGTGGAGGAGAGCCGGAACCTGAGAGGGGGAAGAATGTTTTAAATAGCGGAGGCAGACGTGAATCGTTTTTTTTTTGTGGTGGATGTTAATTACTGTTTTTTTGGTGATTGGCAGAGTTGCCTTAGCTGAGCGTGAAGAATGACGTTTTCGGAGTTAGTCGGAGTGTTGTATTTATCAAGCAATTATTGCTTATTTGAAGCCTTTCTCAGTACTCGTTAAATGGACTTTTTCCACCAAGAGCTCTGTAATTCAAACAAAGCCAGTGTCGTCTAAATAAAAATGTAAGTACAATCAAGGAAGTAAAGTTCCCGAAGTAATTATAGCAGTTGGTTTTTGTGTTTGTGCGTCATTTAATGAAAATCGCAGTTACAACTGCATATTTTAGATTATTTACACTTTAAGGCAATTAAGATTTCTTTAATTAATTGTTTCAATCGGTCGCCTGTTGCGTGGTATGTGTACTTTGCCCCTGAGTGCTGATTATTATTTCCTTTTATTTCAATGATTATTTCAGCCTTACTTACTGATTTTGTATAATAAATTTATTTCGTCCTTAAATTACGGTAAGCGTTTTTATGCTAAATTTGCCATTACACATAGCAGTATCTTCTAATATATAAAAACCTCGAGGCACGGTGTTTTTATGACATTTTTTTAAATATTCGCTATGTCGTAAAGTATATTTCATATCGCTACGGATTATGCAGGGTGCCCATTATGTATAGAATATACAGAACCAGTTTCATTAAACTTAGAAACCAATTTTAAGACATGTTTATGATTGAAATTATTATTGGGATATATTAAACATGACTACGTTCTTCTAGCGCATTTTCTACATCCACCATAAATGAAAATAATTTCGATTCTTTGTCGAAGAGAAAAAGCCATTTTTGAAAATAATTTAGGCAACACAAAATTCGCTGACTTCACTGATAAAATTTGTAAACTGCTTTGTTTTTGTTTTATGTCAGAACATTCGATAAAGTGAGGGTAAGATTCTTATTACATTTTGGTCGAAAGTACTGAAAAGAAACAACAAGTGTATAATATTTTTGAAAAGACAATTGAAGGACATTTAAAATGAGGGGTCGCTCAACCCTTCTTCCCTGTTTAAATTTTAGGGGTTGCTTCAACCCCCATTAGAGGGTTGACCCAATTTCATGTACGACCAACATATAAAATGTCTGCACCCTTCAAAATAAAGTTGACGTGCTTTTGTTTTTCCGTGGATCTTTTGTTGCGGCTCAAATGTTTGAGGTGGTACCTTTTTAAATTGACACACTGTAGATAAAACTTTCTAAGGGATACCTAAATTTGATCAGGAACATACCTTACAGGGTTTTTTGGGATCTTTTAGTCTAAAAGTTTTCTGAAAGTAAAGATAGGCTAGGATTTTGAAATTTGTATCTTAGGAGTTACCTCTGAAGGCCGATCGATGTAAAATATTTCAAAATGGCCGCACTTCCGAAACATCCGAAGTAGTAGTAACTCGTTATTTTATAATGCAACCCCTATTTTTATTGGCTTTTTTGGGATTCTACGTGAAAATTTCACTCTTTGATACCCATATGTCGATCAGTCTCTACCATTTATGGTTTTTTAAGTTATTTTGACTTTTAAGAAAAAAAATGGCGGATGCAGATGGTACCTTGATAATTGATTACTTGAAAACGGTTGCAGTCATGGCAACCTATTTTTATCAGTGCATAGAGAATGAATAGGGCTTTCTTTTAGTGCACTTAAAAAAAAGTTAAGTTGCCGGTACGACCGCCCCTATGGATTACCAATATTTATGAAACTTCAACGACTAAAATCATTTTTTTTAATGGAATGAACCATGTTCTTACTATTCATGAATAGAGAATCGAAATGGGCATATTTTGAAATACATTTCCTATCGCTATCTTTAAACAGTTTCTGACTTATTCCCCCTTTATTAGATATTGACACTATTTTTTTAGGATTCTTTTTAGTATCGGCCATGATTCTATAAAATGAATTTTAAACAAATCTAGCTGCACTATCCAAATCTACCCACTGTTATACGGTTAACATAATGTTTTTTCAACAAATCGAAAATGACTCGCAGTGGTTTCACCTATTTTGGAATTTAATTGTTATTTATGGTGAAATGGGCAGAATCGCGGCGCGTGCTTTCCGTACATTTCATGTCGAAAACTAGAACGAAATTGTTAATATTTGCAAAATTTTGTACCCTAAATGCCTACAACCGTTGAAGCACAAGTTATACAAAGCTCTACAAGAGAATTAAGGGGTGGAAAATGAATTGATTGCAAAACGCATAGATTTACTAAAAATATTCATGCAAAATTAAACTTTGTTGAAGAGCATTTTTGGTATGGAATTGTTGCTAGATACCAGATATCTGCATTACCCACTCTCTTAATTTCCAGACTTTATACGTTGTTTACGAATTCAGCTTGAACAACTCTGTTTAGATTTTTAAAATTTCTGCCTATATCCTTATTAAAATGAGATTATTTATATTAATGAATTATTAGCACAGAATAGAATCAATGTATTAAAGAATCCGCCATTCCTTCTGATTTGTTTAAAATTCGATTGTTATAAAATCATGGCCAACTACTAAAAAGAAAATGCGGAAAAAAAATGGCATCAATTCCGAGATCAATTCAATGAAATGGGAATAAATCAGAAACTGTTAAAGATAGCTATAGGAACATGTATAGTCAAAATATGCCAATTTCGATTCTCTATCTCATGCAATATTAAGTACATGGTCTTTCCATTTAAAAAAACTGAGTTATAGACTTTGAAGTTTCTTAAATTTGGATCTCCATAGGTGCGGTTGTACGCAACTTAACTTTGTTTTAAGTACAGTAAAAGAAAGCCCTATTCATTCTCTATGCACTGATAAAAATAGGTTGCCATGACTACAACCGTTTTCAAGTAATCAATTATCAAGGTACCATCTGCATCCGCCATTTTTTTTCTTAAAGTCAAAATAACTTAAAAACCATAAATGGCAGATATGACATATGGGTATCAAAAGAACTGAAATTTCACGCAGAATCCAAAAATGCAATAAAAAATAGGGGTTGCCATTTAAAATAACGAAGTTACTATCTACTTCCGGTGTTTCCGAAAGTGCGGCCATTTTGAAAATATTTTACATCGATTCGGCCTTCAGAGTAACTCCTAAGTACAAATTTTCAAAAACCTACCTATTTTACTTTCCCAGAAACTTTTAACTAAAGCTCCCAAAAAAACACCCTGTATATGTAAGATACCTATACTGCAAACAAAGATAGGCGGACAGTTACTATTTGGCTTTTATATGGCCACTTGTACCATTAATAGTTCAACTCAGTTTAGTTGACTGACTGAATAAAAAAAATTCATTGGTCAAAATTGTACAATAAAGTTAATGAATGACCCATAGTTCAAAGTGTGAGGATGTGAACTCACTTTATTCCACGGTTTTCTCTCCAAAGCTGGAGAAAAGATTAAGAATTTAATTTCTGTTGGTTCCTTTTCTTGGCTTTTGAGATTTCCATTATCTCTGCTAGTTCCCTTGTTGTTTAACGCGAATTCTCGTGCAAAGTTGATTTAATCGCTCTTCATCGATCTCCACTGGACGGCCAGAACAAGGTGCGTCTTTGAGATCAAAATTACCAATTTTGAACTTGGCATACCAATTACTTGCAGTTCTTTCAGTTATGGCACCCTCTCCATAAACAGCACTAATATCGCGAGCAGCTTTTGCGGCATTAGAACTTTAATTAAAGGCAAAAAAGAGAAGGTGTCGAAAATGCTCATTTTTCTCAACTTGACATTCCATTTTAATGATCAGACAATTAACGAAAATTAAATCGAACAAAAAACAAAACATAGTTTCCGGTAGGAAAATTTTTCAAATAAATTCAAATGTTTGGCCAAAAATATTTAATGACATGCGGAATATCAGAATTTAAAAAACTAAAAGTGACGCTAGTTGTACATAGGTATCCTTAGTTGGTCCTTGGTAATCTAAAAGGTGGTGCTAAGTTACAGACCCAGAGGTTTTGAGGGATATGGAAGTCGTTATCTTCTATTAACGCGAGTTCAGGATTCATAAACCTTCTCACAATGTCTTCGATCTCTCGAAAAGCGGAATAACAACTAACAGAAAGCTTCATGTGAAACATGTTAATTAGAATTGGCACGATATAAGAATGAGTGTGTAAAGGTGTACTTACGAGTAGTTACAAAATTGGACACGTACATATACGAAATCAATTATTTACACTTCAAGTATAGTTTTGAAAATTTTATAAAGAAATATTGATTGGAGGTACTTACGATGCAAATAGTCTGGCAAAGTGTGCACCAACACTAAGTGCTTGGAAAATTTGCTTAGAGATAAACTAAATGTTTGGAGATAAATTGTATAAAGTAAATAGTGTAGTCAACATCAGGGTCAAATGGGAATTTGTTTACAAAATTTGGTTTGGTAGTTGTAATTAATAAGTCAACAAATTTGTTACACGACTTTGTAATATAGGCTGTTACCAACGTGAGTCGGGATTTGGAGTAATATTAATCGGTAACAGGTAATGCACAAATCTGGATCGTTAAGTTAATTAGGATTGATTTCCGGATGATGGTATTCGATTTACTGATGTCACGTTCTCATTTAATTGTCTAATCAATAATTACGACACTCGGAATTATCTGTAATGGTGGTGCATTGGCAGGTTACAATTAAAACAACGAATTAAATTGTAGTTTCCATGACGCCGAAATGACACGGGTTTTTTTTCACTTAGTCACTTTTGGATGATCACCCCGAGGTTAAATTCAATTCTAATTTTTTTTTACTTCAGTTAGCTAAATTTGAAAGGAGGCACAAGGTTTGTCAATTTGGCAGTCTAGCTTTAGTTTAGTTTAGTTTAGTCACCCTGTGGCGAAATATATACCCTTTATCAGCTAATAAAAATGCCGTATTTAAGTTCAAAAGTTTGTCCACTTTACCATAAATACACAATACAACTGGGTTGTTACCATGAGAACAGTTAAACTATAACTTAATTGGAGAAAAACGAGTTCAATTTCTTTTCCGTCCTTAGTTGACTAGCCACCGTTAATGCAAATAATGAAAGGCACACCAATTATTGACAAAATTGCACCACAAATAACGGAGATAATGGACTGTTCCTGGACTTTTTGCTTACCCTGTATAAATAATACCTTCCTTGCCAGTTGAGAATCGCGTAGGGCTGCAGTCAGAAACTGTTCTTGGGAATGGAAACGTGTTAATTTAAAAAAAAATAAGATCATCAGTCCCTAAAGTTGTAAAAAATTGGTTAAATTTTTTTTTCTGTTGTTTTCGATGTTTTTCGGGGGTATTTTGAGAACTAAAAAAGCAGTTTTTGGAGTTACTTTTTAAAACCTGCCTAGAATGAAGATGACTGACTCCAGGCCCGTAGCCAGGGGGTGGCTGAGGTGGTCTTGCCCCCACTGGAAATTACGGTTGATGGTTCCTTTACAAAAATTACAGGGGAAGTCTTTACCAAACACTTCTTAAACCCACCTAGAAAATTACCGGCCACCCATCCTCATTCATTCTGACTACGGGCCTGACTTGCGCGAACGTAGCAACAGCGCAAAAGTCCAAAAATGCAATAAAACGTTTTTGCTTTGCTTTATTTGTGGAGATATCAAAAAAGTAGAAAGAATAAAAGTTACGTAATAGTTATTTATGTATTAAGGGCATAATAGTGATGTTTATATTCTCGAGGGCGACAAGTTAAAAAGCTCGAGGGCCTATGGCCCTCGAGCTTTTTAGTCGCCCGACAGTATAAACATCAGCTTATGCCCGTGGTACATACAAAATTTTATGTTTTACAAATAGTTTTCTTCGTCAAAGTAAATATTCGTTTACAAAATAATTCATTTCGTATGCGTGGTTCGAATTTGTTAATGTGATTGAAACCATCCAAACGTCAAACGTAATTTTAAATAATTCAATTCATCGTGAATGAGCAAGAAGTTCCAGAAACTATACGAAATAAGGCCAATCTTGTGATTTAGTTGGTATTGACAATTAATAATTGACGTTTCTAATTTTCAATGACCTGCAATTATTTGTTTGTTTTGTCATTAAGTATGAATGAGTTACTATGGTGATACTTAATGCCCTAGGGCATAAAGTGGTACTTTATGCCCGCGTATCACAGATATAAAATGTGCTATGATAGGTTAGTAAGACCACAGATAAAAGGTATTTTATCTGTGGTAAGACATAAAAATTGTTTAAATGGACTGTATAATATTTTTTACACCAATAAATTCCTTATCTTTTTCTAATTTTTGCTTTTGCATTTTTTCTTGCGCTTACACTCTTATCTGTTGCTCCCACAGTGATCCCCTAACCTTGTCTTAGCTTATTGATGGCTCCCATGTGCCATAATCATTATGTCGTAATTTTGATCCTTTTCCTACAAATCCTTAATATTTCTCGTATTTCTTTCTCTATCGAATTCCTCGAATCTTTGCATTCATGGTATCGGCACCTTTCATTTTCCCCCTTATCAAATTCAATTTATTTACTTCCGTTAATGGGCTCATCCCGCCTTCATTTTTTATTTCTGATCCACAAAGTACATTAAAAATAAACCGATACAACGAAATATCGAAGGATCCTCAGTATTACAATCACTTTTAACGACAATTTATTTTAATCTTACAAAATACATTTTATAGTTAACAAAAATGCATCAATTCATGTCTTGGGCTTTGAGATAATGCTCTTGGTTTTTTTCCCAACGATCTTGGTGCATAAATAACGATTTTGACATGTTTTGATCAAAATCCATGTGGTTCATAAAAATAGATCAAATTCATGTTTAGATCATTGAGATAATGCTCTTGATCTTTTTCCCAACGATCTTGGTGCATAAATAACGATTTTGACATGTTTTGATCAAAATCCACGTTTTCGCCAAAAATTCATCAAATTCATGTCTTGGGCATTGAGATAATGCGCTTAGTCTTTTTCCCAACGCTCTTGGTGCATAAATAACGATTTTGACATGTTTTGATCAAAATCCACGTGGTCGCCAAAAATGCATCAAATTCATGTCTTGGGCATTGAGATAATGCGCCTAGTCTTTTCCCAACGATCTTGGTGCATAAATAACGATTTTGACATGTTTTGATCAAAATCCACGTGGTCGCCAAAAATGCATCAAATTCATGTCTTGGGCATTGAGATAATGCGCGTAGTCTTTTTCCCAACGATCTTGGTGCATAATTAACGATTTTGACATATTTTGATCAAAATCCATGTGGCCTCAGAAAAATAATTTAACATTTTTGAATCACACACATGCGGTTATCAAACGTGCACGTTATCAACTCTTTCAGCATCAAGATAATGCGTTTGAAAGCTTTTACAACTCTAAATTCATGTGTAAAGAATAATTTTGGGTACATTTTGCTCTAAAACTTTTGACCGAGACCACAGAGAAGAGTTATATTGAATTGTTACACATCTAAGAGTCATAGGGAATAATCTAGCGAAAGTCCGAACTCGATACATGACCTAGGGAATGAAATATGTTAATTTTTATTATATTGAGTTCGCAGTTTTTCCTGTTCCCGATTCACTCGAAGTCGTATAACTTTTGTTCCTGTTGAACCAGCTTCCTGAAAATCAATAGCGTCCGTTCTTAATGTCCAACGTATCCGTATACCAAATTTCAACACAATCGGCCACTTTTAAAAAGAGTTAGAGCGCACACGGACGGACGGACGGACGGACGGACGGACGGACGGACGACAATACAAAACTATAAAGGATCTGAGGATCCTTAATAAAAAGACCCGTGTGTCCTCAATTTTTATTTGCGAGTATAAATAAACCCAAAATAAATTATTGAAAAGCTGTGTTTTTAGTCCGAATTTGAAACGCTTCGGACTAAATACGTCATAAACCTACAACCAATCACGTAGAAGTGAGCTGGCAACCTTACCCGAGGGTCTGACGTTTGTCACATTTGACGTTTTGAGAGGGATGTTTAACTGCATCTAGCACGAAAGTGACAAGTGCCTGTGACAGATGACGCAAGTTATAAATGCCATTCTCCTGCAATATTGCCAAGTCGTTATGTCATCTGAATGGTTCTAGGAGCTGATTGGTCGGGCTTATTACGTCACAGAGCCCGCCACAATCATATCGTTTTGAATAAACCTTTAAAACCGCACATGTTCATTATTTTTTTGCTAATCAGCCTCTATTTTTAAATAAACTTTTACTGTCCAAAAAAATGTTTTATGGTTTCAGGTACACGCTTATTCAATTAGAACTGCGGAATTCAACTACACTGTAAACCCCCATTATTTCCCTTGTCCAACTGCCACTCATTGGGTGTACTTCCCCCTCTCCCTGAAACTTCTCTCTGCCTTTCACCCATTCGTATTTTCAGCATAAGAGTCTCCCACGTACTCTTCACCCTCACGTCGTCAGTTTCACTCTTTAACCTTTCTATATCGTCGCTAGGGTACCTTTCCTCTATTTCTAATCTGCATTCTAACCTTTTGTGCAATATTTTCTTTTAGTTTTCCTACGTCAGATGCTACCGTTCCGTTAATGTTCCTCCACACTTGTCTTAGTTTTTCTTCTCTTTCCATTGTTAATTATATATTTAACTATTCCCATAGTTTCTTCTTCTTGATTTACTACTACATACTTCATTTATTCGTTCATTATTCTCTCTCATCACACTCCCTTTCAATCGATTTTTCTGATTTCCCACATCTGTTACCCAATCTGTTCCTGACGCACTTCTTGTCTTACTCAGCATCAACCTTGTTTTCACCTAAATTTTCTCTGTTCGTTCCATTCTTACCATCGTCCCTTTTCTCCCTATAGTTTGTTTCATGTATTTCTCTCCCTAATTGACGGAGAGCTGGCTACGGAAAAAAATGACATCGCTACATGGCTGATTTTTTGTATAAAGTATGCTGATACATAGTGAAGTAGAAAAAGTTATGTCTGCCCGCGAGATCCCGTGGTTTAAGGTTGGGAGGGGTGGTTAAATATGGCAAACTGCCGATTTTCCGACTATATTTACCTCTGGTGCCTTCATTTTGAATCCGACGCAAAAAATCAATGACACTTTTTTGTACAGCTTATCAAGGTACATCTTTTTTGTATTTAACATATTCGCTATGGTGCTTACTTTTCGAGAAAAATGCAAATTAAAAAAAATATAGTCAAACTGAATGCATGTAGTCCGTTTCTTGTGAACACGATAACTCAAAAAGGATTTTTGAGAGTGTTAAAAGTTTAAAAGAGTCATAACAACTTAAAAAAGTTTGTAATTTTTTTCGCATTCACTGGCTAGTGTGGCACAAGAAACTCTACAAAAAAGTCCATAGCAATTTTTTTGTGAGTTTCTTAGTTTTTGAGAAATTTTAAATTGAACAGTTAAACTATTCATTTTATAATTTTTCTAAATTTGCACTTTTCTCAGAAAATAAGCCTCAGTTAAATATAAGAAAGGTTTGCCAAAAAAGTCTCATCAATTTTTTGCGTCAGATTCAAAATAAGGGCGCCAGAGATAAATATGCGCATTCGTAGATTGCGGATTGTATCTGTGCTCACGGTCCCTGTGATCTGTGCTAGCCACAAAATAAAATCCTAAACCTTAAGCGCCAATAAGGCTCCAAGGACAAAATGGACCAGAAATATGTGACGATCTCTTAACAATGGCAAAGAAAATATAACAATTTCAAGCTTCAATTTTGAGCAAATAACACTCAAACAAAAATGTTTATTAACACAATTGAAAACCATAGCAATTTCAACAAAAATTGAATTTTTTTCTGCAAATTGGGGTGGATTCTGCTCTGCGGAGGGTGGTAATTATCAAAGTTAGAACTCTTTCTAGCAGTAAATTAAATATTTTCAGAAAATATAGCTGTAATACACGTATAACTACAGTAACTTTAACAAACATAGATACAACACTTAAAGCACTAGAATTTATACTTAATGGAATTACACTACACCTACTCGCTATCACTAAAATATAAAATAATATAATTGTACAAGAAAGATATGTGACATAAAAACGTAAACTGATTGACAATGGAGGGTTGCTTGAGATACTGGAATGTGTTGAGTATTGTCCATCATCCAATAAAAAGCGTCTGTGGCATTTTGACGTTTCAGTTCAGCACCAATTTGCCTTCTAATTTTTGCATTGTAACTGTTTAGCCAGCGTTTCTAAAGAATCGTAACTTACAATTCAGTTTTGAAAAATGTACTCACCTCCTGATTCGAAAGCATATCAAAATTAATTAGTTTATTGGAATACGGAACGAGAGTTACGTCACTAAATCCCAGATAAGCTCTACCGTACGTATGTTTTAAATAGGGCTTATCTACAACCTCCAAGATATTTTCAAGTCTGACACCAAATTTGTTTTCTAAGTAAATTCCAGGCTCTGCAAGGGCAATTGTTTGGATAGCCTTTACGTTGTACATTATTCTTACCGTTACTAAAGAAGAACCCTACTTTAAAATGATCCTGTCTCATCCTAGGGTTGTAATGGACGTACACTGGAGCTGTACCAAGACTGAAAATTAATTCGCTGTTCGTAACTTTGTTTACTTACACTCGTGCACGCCCAAAAAAGCTCCAATCCCGTGTCCAGTTCCGTGTTGATAATCTTCACCAATTTCCCACAGCGGTGCGCGTGCCAACACATCGATGCTACTAGGTTTCAGATTGTCCGGAAATATTAAACTCGCTAGCCGAATCGAACCAATAAGTACTCTTGAATACGCGTCTTTCATCTCATCAGTAGGTTCGCCTAAATGCACAGTTCTTGTGACATCAGTTGTTCCATCTAAAACAAAATCAAACGTGATGTACTGAAGATTAATGCTGCTATAGTAACGTACCGCAGTACTGACCCCCGGAGTCTATTATTAGGGTGCTATTGTCAAAAATAGGCAACGAAGTAATGGCACTCGGTTCATAATGCGGCTGAGAGCCGTGCGCTCCGAATGCCACAATAGTTCTAAAACTGACATCCACGGATAAATGTTGCTCCATTCGAAATCTGTTAATTTCTTGCGAAACTTTGAGCTCATCCCAAGGATCGCCTGCTTTAAACTGCGATCGAAATACTTGAAAAAGGATTGTCTTTGCTCACACTCACCCGTCTTTCGAAGTACTCCAAAAACTTGCACATTGCCGCACCGTCCCGTATATGCGCATTTTTCATACCAATTCGTTCAACCTCATTTTTTACCGCCTTCAGGTGAATTATTGGGGATGGTTTCGAAATGCGTTTTTCATCGGGTACTAAATCGTAGATCATTTTACTAGCGCCTGCACTGTAAACGAAAGATGACGGTACAAGGACTGTTTTCCATATTTGACAACGAGTCGGCAAATCAATCCAAATATCATCGTAAGGTTTCATTCTGAAAAACATTAAAGTAGTTTGGTATAGTTTCTGGTATAGACTATATTACTCCACGGTGGATTCGGTTAACCCTGGTATTTCCGCATTAAAGAAAGAAGTTACGTTCAATTTGGTCTTGTTTGGATCGACGTACAATGTAATTGTTGTCTGACTTAGCAGTACGTAACCTTTAACGAAACGTGTGTATGGTATATCGCGTCCACGGATGTTAAGCAACCATGCAATTTCATCTAATGCTGTAACAACCATTGCATCTGCTCCCAGATGTTTTAATTCCCGTCTGGTTTCTTTCACTTTAAGCATCCAATTTTTACCTGGAGATACATCTTCATTAGTACGTATATCAAGTGTTACAAATTTTGAATTTTTTCATCCAACCAACAATGTCGTTTCAATTTTATAATACGTTCAAATTGTTAAAAACAATGCCCTTTATCTGCACAATGTATTTCATGACTCAAAATTTAGACAAGAATATCAGACAAAGCGTTATAATGACCCGTTTTATGGCTTAGGTATACTCTCAGTCTTAACAACATCTTCAAGCTTCCATGTAGGAACTTTGGTTACGGAGCGCCCCTAATTTTCTTATTTCAAACCGTTAACGTAACCGTTAACACGTAAATATTTAAGTCACTAGGTGTATTTCCCAATTTCCTTTTATTACCTACTTTTATTGACTTCTCCGAAAAATAATAGATTTATTACCAACATTTCATTTCAATAGCATTTTACAAGCAAAAGTACTAGTTACCTGAGCACCTAGATAAGAGAGGCTGATGAATGGAGAGATTTTGTAAAAGCCGTTGGAAAAAGTGGCGAACGGACACACATTGCAAGATCAAATTTTGGAGACAGTTAAAACTCTTCTTTCACCGTTCCCGATGGTCTCCTCAATCCTATTTTTTTAAATTTCTGCAGATGTACGTCTATAGTATTTCATGACTAAAAAACTATGGAAATACAGGAGACCGAAGAGGAAGATGGTGAAAGAGTTGGACATAGTGACTTTATGAAGAAGGATCATAATAATTCGTCTGATCAATAAAGAATTAATCACTGTTCTATAATAATTTTTTTTCACTACTAGCGTCTGATGACATGATTATTAACGTTTTTCCACTTGTAAAGTAGGCTTTCTCGGCATTTGTTCAAAGTGGTTAATAATTTTTTATTATTAACTAGTAGTCAATAATGAGAACTGTCACGCTGTCACTTTTAGAAAACACAACCCGAAATTTCGCTCAATGAACGTTTAGACAAGTTCTCTAAAACGAATAATTGCCACCATTCGCAATTTCCAGAGAAATTACATACCTAAAATTATCACATTTTGAAAAAATTCGAACGAAATTACTCTTTGAAAAATCTCAATGACAGAACAAAATACGGCCTGTTTGACTTGTACTTCCACGTACTTGATTGACATGTTAAATTAAGAAACAAACAATTCTGTCCAACCGTTAACTCTCTTATCAATATAATATGTTAATTTAGAGGATTCAAGTGCTAGTAGTGAAAAAAATAGTATATATACCACGGTAGAGAAGTCTATTATTGCCTTCGCACCTTACACCCCTCGGCGCAAGCGCCTCGAGATGTAATCTTGGTGCTCAGGCAATAATACTGGACTTCTCTACCTTGATATATAATGTACTATTTTTCACTACTAGCGTCTGATGACATGATTATTAACCTTTTTTCCACTTGTAAAGTAGGCTTTCTCGGCATTTGTTCAAAGTGGTTAATAATGTGGACATTATTAACTAGTAGTCAATAATGAGAACTGTCACGCTGTCACTTTTAGAAAACAAACCCGAAATTTCGCTCAATAAACGTTTGGACAAGTTCTCTAAAATGAATAATTGCCACCATCCGCCATTTCCAGAGAAATTACATACCTAAAATTATCACATTTTGAAAAAATTCGAACGAAATTACTCTTTGAAAATATCTCAATGACAGAACAAAATACGGCCTGTTTGACTTGTACTTCCACGTACTTGATTGACATGTTAAATTAAGAAACAAAAAATTCTGTCCAACCGTTCACTTTCTTATCAATATAATGTTAATTTAGAGGATTTCAAGTGCTAGTAGTGAAAAAAATAGTATATATACCACGGTAGAGAAGTCTATTATTGCCTTCGTACCTTACACCAGTCGGCGCAAGCGCCTCGAGATGTAATCTTGGTNACATATTATATTGATAAGAGAGTTAACGGTTGGACAGAATTGTTTTTCTTAATTTAACATGTCAATCAAGTACGTGGAAGTACAAGTCAAACAGGCCGTATTTTGTTCTGTCATTGAGATTTTTCAAAGAGTAATTTCGTTCGAATTTTTTCAAAATGTGATAATTTTAGGTATGTAATTTCTCTGGAAATTGCGAATGGTGGCAATTATTCGTTTTAGAGAACTTGTCTAAACGTTCATTGAGCGAAATTTCGGGTTGTGTTTTCTAAAAGTGACAGCGTGACAGTTCTCATTATTGACTACTAGTTAATAATGTCCACATTATTAACCACTTTGAACAAATGCCGAGAAAGCCTACTTTACAAGTGGAAAAAGGTTAATAATCATGTCATCAGACGCTAGTAGTGAAAAAACGAATTTTCGTATAGTTGTAGATAAAAGTGTCTTAAGCAACATACTTATAAAAGGACTGATGGATGGGGGTGGAGTTTACAAATGAGGGGGGGGGGGGAAAGGTCCCTTTTCGAGTTACATAAAATTCTTTACAAATATTCTATACCTACGCTTTTTTGCTGGTTTTAATGATATATCTTAATCTTAATAATTTTGTGAATCGAAAACATCATCATCATCATCTTCCACAATGTCTTCGATGGGGGTTCCGTTAGTGCATGAGCCGGATTCCGTTTAGGGATGAAAATGCTCGTTCCAGTTGTGACTGGAGTAATCGCAAACATTCCTAGCAATTGCTTGATGTTATGGAGACGAACAGCTCATTGCATTTGTCGTACGCCTATAAAACATTCAAACCAACTTCAGTCCATTTTTTTCCACAAAGTATACGCTGCTTTTCAGAACCTTCAATCTCTATTCGCAAAAATAAACGGCATTGTGCAATATCACATTTTCTGAGTTAATAGGCAGGCATTTAATTTAGTAGTGATTTGGAAATTTGCTCCTTGTCTCTCTCTTTTCCTAAGCATAAGATAATTTTTTGCTATGAGCGACCGTTTATGAGTTATTTATAAAAAAATATAAAGGGAAAAGGGGTATCTGGCAATTTTAAATTTGAACTGTTCCCCCTTTTATGCATTAAATTTATAGGGGACGGGAGACAATATTTTCAGTATCGGCGTAAAACTATAATTACGAGGGAAATAAAATTCTCCGATGCTGTTATGCAGGTGAGAGGCCGAGTTGAAAATCATTATAATGTGAAATTGTTAAATAAAAATTGGGAAAGAAATGAGAAAGTAAGTGAGTACATATCCTGGAAGGTTTTCAATAGCCCTTTTTCCCTTCCGTGTGATCAATAAAGACCCTAGGGCTATCTTTTGTGTGATGTATGGTTCAGTTGGACTATAAATCCGGAAGTCGGGTGTTCGAACCTGGGTTCAGGTGAATTTTCATCTGTGGCAGAGATTGGGAATTACCTTAGATCAGTTTCGAGCATTCTGTCGGCTACTTCGAATTAGGTTTTCTTGCAGTTTTCCTAATTTGTAAGGTAAATACCAGAGTAGTATAGAACAACTTCATACCTTCTCTGCAGAGGCACCTCTAAAAAGCATTATGCAGATCACTCTGTAATTGGGCGCAAGCCTGTTGAGGACCCAGAACAAAAGAGGGATAATAAATAATAAATAAATAAATTAATTAATTAAGAAAGGGCAACCGTGATTTGAATTTAATTGTTTTTGTTTAAACGTTTTTAATTAATTTTGAAAAGCCCCACTTGGTGTGCTTTATATACAGTGCGTTTATCTTAAACTGGAACATACGATTTTGCATACAATTTGGTAACTTGAAGTCCATTATATACTCAAAATGGTAAGTTAGTTTATGAGGTTAAAATAAACCAAAAGGACTCAAAACCGCACCCATGCAATTTAATTGAGTGTAAAAAGGGGGGGGGGGGCACTACATGTTTCAACTTACGTGATCATCAGGTGTACTAGTGGCATGGCGTGCACGAACTGTCTACAGACATTCGTAAAAATCATAAAACACCCCCAAAGAGCGGGGGAGTAAAACTAACGAGTACCTACTCAACGGCGGGTCACCGATAGAAAAGTTGTTGAAGAGGATATGAATTAATTTCTAAACAAATAAAAGTCGATCATCTCCATGCCAAAAATTGGTAAAAAAACCCAAAAAAAATTGGGTAATGAAAACTGGAAACCACCAGCACAAAAGGCGTTTGTAGAGATTCCAGAAATAGTGGCACATTACAAAATTGAGTAAAATTAAGCGGCGAATCCGGAACGTTAACAATGAAGAATCATTAAGAAGGAGAATGGTAAAAACTAAATACATGGGTAGATGTCATAAATTTGAAATGTTTAATATTCTATTTACATCACAAAGTTAAGATTTTGTTTTCCTTATACCTTTTATTTTTATTTTTCTCGTGTGATTTTACGTCTACTTATTTAATATTTGTTTTTTATGTCACTATGGTGTACCTACAGGTTTTATTTTTAGCTGAAAAAGTGTTACTTTTATTTTATACGTCACTCCACTTATTTATGTGCATGGTGCATATGGAAGAGCAGCTTTTGCTGAATTTGTACCATGGGATTCCATGTTATTATTGGAATAAATCTATATTATTATTATTATTAAATGTAAAGTTTAAAAAGAGCAAATTTTTAACGTCGAGCCATGCTGACGGCAGGAAACGACCTGCCGTTGTAATGTGCCACTATTTTCCTTACACAGAAACGTTTAAAGGCCGCCGGGCGTGCATTCAAAATCTACGCTATATAATACAAGAAGAATCACGCCCTTACAAACATTCTCAAAATGTTGCATTTTCCCTTTGTAGGTACCTTCCGCCGACACTCCGTTCCGCGGATATTTCCACTGAAAGTTGTGACAACACCAATAGATATGTCTCGTCCTGACGTTCCACTTTCCCTTTATGAGCACTCTCTTCCGACACTTTGTTTTCAAGATATTCGCCTTCCACTTTACCAATAGAAATATCTCGTCCAGGCGATTCATTTTGCCTTTGTCATTGCTTTCCTGCGACTAACCGTTTTGGAGATATTCGTTCTTAAAGTTTTGACATCACCAATGTATATATTTCTTCGCGTCCCAATTGCCCCCCGCCCTCCGCACCTTCCTTCAAGGTATAGGCTACTTATTGCACGGACGGACAAAACGCACACAATAGCAAATTTTAAAAAATGCGCTAAAAATGTTCCCCTGGTTTGTCCAGGGATAACGAACGAAATATATTATACGATATATTAAACGTCATTATAACGCTACAATCGGTAACTGAATAAAATAATCCCATCTATTATGGGATACTTTTTTCTTGCAGTCGTTATTATTTTTCTTTGTAGTAAAAAATGACATCCCATGTCAAATTTATACGGTAACACTCTATTTAAATAAAAAATGTAATGGTTAAAACTCGGGAAAATGACACATTACTGGCGAGGAAACATTGCGAGAGATGCCTTCTACATTAATTTCTGAGTCAAGTACCTAGCTAGTGTCATTTTACTGACGAGTGTTTGAATTAAATTTTACCCGAAATCGCCTTTTTAAATATAAAATTTCAATTTTCGGATAGAACTTTTGATTAATGTGTAAATGTTGACAGGAGTCTGGTAATATGACCGGCGCGGCGGCAGGAAAAGTTTTATTGCCACCGTCATGGAAACTAAAATTTCCTGACATAAAGTGGGCATTAAAATGAAGGTTTCATGACGATTTCGAGAAAAAAAAATCAAAAAATGATCACTCTGCCTCTGTTTATAATATATTTTTGAAATCTCCAATTTGCAGCAACTTGAGTGTAATTAGTTACTTCAACAGGAATGAATAATTTAAATTAATTATACTTTCTATTGTACGTAGGTACCTAGTTTTTTTATAATTTCGGCAATTATAGTCCCGAATGAAAATACACACCTGTAAAACTATCATGCAAAGTAAAAGCATCCTTCTCTTCATCAGTCTGACTATGATTTGTCCATATTTTGTCAATTAAGTTAATTTTAGTCTTTACCAATTCCAATTTATCACTTTTTTCTTGTAATTCGTATTCCAACGCATTCCAATAGTCGGCAGCTATTAATTTTGGATCCGCGCCAATTCGCGCCCCCTGAGGAAACTCCGATATTAGCCATTCGGCTTGGGAAGGCACCAACGGATTGCCATCTTGCATTAACAACCAGTCGCAATTTAATTCGTCGTTGGCTTGCTGGTAAAATTGCCCGTCGGCCCACAAAACGGCTTTATCCATGGTTATGATTACGTCGCCTCCTCCACCGCTAAATCCAGAGATGTATTCCCTTCGCTTATCATAATTCGATACAAATTCTGTCTAAGCAAAGAGATTGAAGCTTTCACCGGATGCAAGTAATGCCTACTTACTTGATGATCATCGTCCGATGTAACTAACACAGCGTGTAATGGCAACGGATCTTTCAACTCCGCGGGGTCGTTGAGTAGTCTTCGTAAGGCTATTAATCGGTCAGTTGTGTTAACACGACGAATTGGTTGAGGTAGAAGGCCATATTTAGAACATGCTTTTCTTAATTCTCCTGAGGCGATACGTTTTTCATATGAACTTAAATTATGACGGGTGCCGGTAACTGAATCTGAAACGGAACATAATACATATTAAAATACAGGAGAGGATAACAAAATAATACTTCAATCTAAAGGGCTACTGCATATATACACCCTTTTTAAGTTATGCTACCCTGGTAATTCGCTGACGTCAATTCTATTGTTCTGACACCCACGCATCTCAACCCTTTAGGTATAACCTGCCCTAACGTGCACCATCTGTAGCCTGGTTGTGTCGCGGTTATTTTTTATTAGGTCACTAATATCAACTTCACTTTAAAAGAGAAAACGTCAACTTTACCATTTTTCTGTTCTGCGGTCCTGATGGGTATAAGGCGATGGAATTTCTTAAAAAGTTTCTTTTTTTTATAAAATATTAGCATCTTGTCTCATATATAATCGTATAATGTGCCATTAACTTCAACTTTTATCGCACCTATTATCCTACTGGTTTAAGGTAAAATAACTTTTGGAATATGCAGTTTGCTTTTAGTACCTAATCCTTATTGAACAAAAGATTGTAAAAGGCCGTAAAAGCGCAAATATTCGTTTGGAGGATCTACATCATTACTGTATTTGTACTCGTATTTTGGTTTTTATAAAATAAAGAAAGAAAAAACCACTGAATAAATTACTTGATGGAAACCGAGGGGCTCTCTTTTGATCGGCTTATTCTGTAAACTTGTTTGCAATGTGATGACAGTTTAAAGGTGGCGTAATGAAAACGAAACAGATCTTTTTAGATAGATAAGTTTTCGAAAAAAAAACATAAAATTATTCATTAATTTTTAGAGCGCAGCGACTTAACTCTTACCATTTTAAATCGCGTGATTGTGCAAGTGTCCTATCTTTGGAAATTTCCACTCTGGAACTTTTTAATGCATTTATCAAGTATGAAAATGCGGCATAAGTCATAACTTTCTTTTTTTCCATCTGTCGGTATGTTCGGCCGTCTGCCTTAGGGTCCTGATCTCAGCACTCAGCACAGCTCGTTCGTGTCTCGATTGATAGATTTAGTTCTTCGATTAAGGATGCCAAATGCTTATAATATATTTTCTACAGGCATACAGTGCCTCAATTTCAAAAGCGACTCTCCATGTTTGATACATCTTCAGAAAGCTCTCTCAAATTGCGTTTCAAGGGTGTTAATTACACAGATGTGTTGAGAAAAACGAAAAAATATGAAATTTAATCTATCTTTCACTGAGGCAAAGAACAGAATCGTTTTTACTCAAACAACTGCACAGTTTACTGCTGTTCTTAAATCAACGGTAGTGATCCATTACCTAAAGTTCAATGTGATTTTGAACATTTCTTGTATTCTTCTACGTTTTATTTTGCTTCAAATCGAGGGTGACCATCGAGTCACAAATCTAAGAGATATGAAATCGGTTAATTGAAGGTAAAGTACTGTATTTTAGCACTACGTTACTAACAAAGTTAAATTTTTGAAAACAACTTTTTCTTCCCTTAAGTTCGCCGTTTTGGTTTTTTGGAGCAATCATTTTTTTTAAATAAAGACTTACATTTTACCACCCACACGTTCGTAAGGGAGGTATTGCATTGGGGTAAAAAATGATCCCTTTCTTTACGGAAATACACGTTCTAAAGCACCAGGAACTCGAATTAAACAAAATTTCGATGATGTCGGTCTGTCGGTCTGTCTGTACTCTCATTTGCGGCTACACATGATATTCTTAGATATAAAAGGAAGGAACTGAAACGCTTTTGGGCGGAATTGAGCGGAAAGAGTGAGAAATACAATGTCTTATTTCCATCACTAAAAGGTAAAAGGAATATCTTATTAATTCTTTCATCAGCGAACATTCCCTTTAGTCTACGCAGGGTGTCTACACTTTTTGACGTTATTAAAAAAGGAGTTACTCGCAATATCCGCGCTACTTAAGAAATGTTTTTGTAATTTGAAGAACTTTTTTTATATTTAATTATAAACAGTGCTGTTTTATGAGTATTATACAGGGTGTTCTTAAATATGAAGTACATACGCAAGGGGATAGTCCTTTGGCTTATTTTATGGGTAATGAAAGTTCATATAAACATAAGTCCACAAACGTTTCATTACCGATCTACAGTGTTATAATTCCATAATTTTTTAATTTTTTTTTTGCAGTTTTTGTGATGTTTAGATCTAATTTAGAATATAAATTATGCTGAACATGACCATGACGGTCATGTCAATGGTAATGAGAATGTACAGGGTGATGTTTTTCAGGAGTTATGGTTAAATTTCTACCCTGAACTTTTTTCGGTGTGCCGCTGGTAGATTGTAAAATAAGAGTAATTTTTTCATATCTGCGACCGTTATCAAGAAAAAAAATAAAAATAAATTTTCGATAGTGATGAATGAAAGTAAATTTTTTAAAATGGTCAAATCAAATGACCCCTTGGGGTCACGCCTTTCTGTCTCTGCCAAACACTTGAACCTATTCGATTCAAACTTTGCACAGTTGACATATATATCACATATAACAAGCCTATTGAAAATGTGTCAAATCCAGTGACCCTGTAGGGTCAAACCGAGGAGCTCTGCCGCTTTTTTAGATCCGCTTCAGGGGTTTATTTAGCTAATCTCTTGTTTTTATTAGTTTTGACAGTTCGCATTTCAAATATTGTATCCTGTGTTAGTGTTTGTGTCTACATCATTATAAATTAAAGGCTTAAATTGTAAGGTGTACGGTGTAAAAGGACATTCTGTAGATCGATACAGAACCGTTAGCGGAGCTATGTTTATATGAAATTTTCATACAATAAAATGGGATTGCATGGGAAACTATCTATTTTATTGAAGAGCTAGATTAAATGTGCAGGTTCTGCCATTTATTTGGGCTGATTGAAGTTATTAAATAAACACTCAAAACCATGGATTTCAAAATTGGTAGATATTCGTGTTTTGTATTCTTGTTAGTTACTTCCCAATCTGGAATATTATTTTGAAATAAGAAACATTCATATAACTCCCTCTGTCTTAACTTATATATTTAATTTTTTTTAATCGGCGGTTTTCAGTTTATTTTTAAATAACCTTTTAGGACTCGGATATTCAAAATTTATAAACGGAAACTTCTAAACTAAACTTCTCAATAATAACACAGTTTCCCAAATCACATATAATCCCGATTAAGGGTACCCTGCATACACGGACTTGAAGCCTTCATGAGAAGCCTTATTAAGCGGCACAGCAAAGCGATGCAAGCTTTACAGGGGAGACTCTGTTCGTCTGTCCGTGAACACGATAACTGCCAAACGCTTAGATTTATATCATTCCATTAGAAATAAAACAATGCATACAACGAAATATTTACTTTTTAGATGGTTAAAAAAAGTTTTTTTATTTTTTATTTAACGATGCGCCTCTGCGGAATAATAAATCGGATACCTAATTAAAATTTCGTACACAGGGCTGTTAATATTAGTGTGAATCGCACTCGTATTATATAATATTATATAACCGAATTCTCTACTACTTTTAGATAAGCTGTTATTCACCCCCAATAAACAATATTTAAAAATTACGAAAATCAAATTGAATTTCGGAATTTGATCTATAATGTAGAGACATTAGCGATATTTTAAATTTAATGTAGTAGGTGTAAGCATGTTGCTCGGCAGCTTAACTTCGTTTAAATGTAGGTAATGTTAACGGAGTAAAGTAATTGTGGCAATTTATGTAAACTGGTTTTATGCTTCGATGAACATATTCTTTTTGTCCGTTTTGGAAAAAACAAGACTTTCAAGAAAGGCTTTACACATTTATGCTGCCCTGATTGCCGACGATCCTTTCATTACATCCTGTAGGGGCCTCCGCAGCCACTATTTCTCGTTCGTCGGGGTTGATTATTTATAAATCTGTCTTTTGAAGCTTCGGCGTGAAGCAGTTCGAAATTATTCTACAAAGTCACAGCTGCATAGTGGTTCGATAGTAGATTAATTGCGTTCTTATTTCGCACATATCGCGTTTATTCTATAATGGGGTAGGTATATAAAATTCAAAGCCGCATTTCCTAAAAATATTCTAAAAGTAGACATCCTTCTAAAAATTTATCGAAAAACTCAAATTTCAACATCAAAGCTGTTTCAACACGCGCTTTAATTTTATTCCTAGCTCAAAACGGATTTTGAAAGTAATTATAATTCATAATTTGCAAAATTGGGAAGTATATCTACATATCTTTTAAATTAGCACGTTTCTTTTGAAAGCGTTGCTTTGTGTGATCAGTTCTTTGTAATGTAATTTACATCAACTTGTATCGTGTAGCGGTATGATTATAACAAAAGCGATACTTATCAAAGGATATTTAAACACCTGCAGAAATACGACATTGCAGAAAGCCATATTTGAAAAAAAATTATCAAAGTCCTCGTGTGAGATCGAAGGGACTTCAGCGCATTTTTGTGTGGCAGATCAGTATTCTATTAGCCACTTTTTACTCAACCATGAATAAAAGATCTTGTCGAAGGATACCACATTCCCTTTGACGGTACCCACTTCCGATGTCCCGTTCACCCGCAATTCGCGTTTGAAGATTTAACTCCACCATCAGTAAGATCATGTCGGGAGCTACCACATTCCCTTTGACGGTACCCACTTCCGACGTCCCGTTCACCCGCAATTCGCGTTTGAAGATTTTTCTCCACCATCAGTTAGATCTTGTCGGAGGCTACCACATTTCCTTTTTCGGTGCATACTTATATTACACCCACATTTTGGTGGATCTCGCTAAAAACCTTCCACAAGATAGTACTTAATTTTTGGGGGCACTTCTCATTGCTCGAGCTTCTATTGGCGACACGAGAAAGAGAGACAGCCATTCGAGATTTACGAAACGTTAAAACGCGTGACAGAATTCGCAACGGAAGGTAAAAGGTGCCCGAAGTTGACTACCTCTCGAAGACGCGCGCGCGCCTTGCATAAGGTCGTTAATTTCGCCCCTAGGCCAAAAAACAAAATTCCGCCACGCAGGAGTTGTGCGCGTTTACAACATCTTTCCGACGACACCAATTTGAAAAG